TGAAGAACAAAACGACAGCAACTTGTCTGTTCCCCTTCCCCCAATTCCCCAGCACTGTTCCCATCCCCCCAATTCCCCAATAAAAAAATCTTTTAAAAAAAAATTAAAAAAAAAAATCCTTTTTTCTTATTCTCTGTATAACATCACTTCTTTAAAAACAGTCAACTAGAAAATGAATATTTTTACAAAATGCAATTAAAATTCAAAACATCACAGATATATGTATTGTAATATAGTATACCAAATGAGATTTTTAGTCTTTTCCATTAAGTTTTTTCAGTGACTGTTACATTTTCACAAAAGTCACAATCTCATCAGCTTTAATGCTAGAAAAGCAGTACAATGAGTCTGAAAGATAATGGAGATAAGCAACATCACGTTTAGTAACCTTGACTTCAGAAATGGAGCCTTTGAACTGGCAAGCAATTTATTCCATTTCCAAAGCAAATTTCCTATTGTATTGAAGATTTTCCCTCAGTATTTAAAAACAATAAGATGATGAATAATGGATTTTTTTCAGAGACAGGCTAAGCAGAAAATCTTAAGTGTCTTTGTTGCCTGGTGTCATACACACTTAATTGGTTTGTCACTCAAGAAAAATCAACGTTTCCAGCAATTAAGTATAATTCTGGAAACATTTTTAAAATGAGTAAAAACAATGTGAACAAAGACGACAGAAGGGATGATACCAAACCCAAGAGTACTGCCACATAAAAAACGAAGACAGCTATCTTAACTGCTGCCAAAGGTTTAAAAAAATTAGGAATTTTCAACAAAACACTCTAGTATGAGAAGGTACATAATTTACATGTATCTACGTAAAAGTAGATCAATACAATAACTAGCCTAAACTCATATTTTTATCTTAAGTATCTAACAGCCTTATTATTTCCATCTTGATGAGAAACATTCTGAGAAGTCAACTGATATTGCAGGGAGAAATACATTTAAATTATGCCTAATGCTTCAGCCTTCATTAAGAAAAATAAACATTTCCCCCTTTGCCTGCATGTTAATAAAAAAAAAATTGCCATAATACAGTGGGTGTTTCCTTCATGAAACACAGCTTCCAAGTTGAGCTGTGTCACTGGTGAGTCATTAGTAAGTAGCAAAATCATATGAACTACTGGAGATGGTGGGACTTTCCCTCCTGCAGCAGCAGAGGAGCTAAACAGTGGGAAAGTTAACAAATAAACAAAGGAACTGCCTGAAAAGCATGCCTTGACCTTAGTAGCTGAAACAAGGACAAGGGTCAATCAGCCCCTCAAGCTGAAAGGGGAGCCCCCATGTGAGCTGTACACACAATAACCTCGGAGCCACTGACTCCTCTTCCACAATGTTCTGTAAGAAACCTACAAACCAATTTCTTGAAATAAGAAGTTACACCGATGCTGTACGTAAATTGAGGCAACACTCTCCATACAGTTAACGGCACAGTACCTAATGATACGTCAATGCCAATCCTGAAATTGGAAGATAAGCCACCAGTCAGCACAGGTCAGGTGCCTAAAACTTTGACGTCCCCAATCACCAACTCTGTCCATGTGCGCATACTGCCAGTTGTAGAAAATTAAGTAAAACATTTCTATTCTGGAGGCCTAAACGATTTCAGAAACTACAGATCCCTTTAAACGGAAATTCTGCAGACCTTAAGAATACTCTGAGTCCAGGGAACCCTGGGCCTGGGCACGCTCATAAACGCTGTCCTAAGGATCACTATGCGCTTCAGAACAGCTTTTCCACTGTGAACCATCACAGCAAAGGAACAGTTTCATATTTACAACTAGTAAAATAGTTTTTGATCCTCATTATAGTTATAAAAATTTTTATGATTCAAAGAAAGTTGTGTATGGACACCCAGAATAAGAAAACTAGCATTAAAAAAATTTGTATTGCCTCTACCAAGATGGGTAGAGTGGATAAAAAATATAAATCAACCATATGCCAACTACAAGAAACTCACTTCAAATACAAGTAGGTTAAAAGTAAGAGGATGGAAAACTCTATGCCAGGTAAACATTAATCAAAAGGCGGCAGGAGCAGGTTATCATAATGTCAGAAAAAGTTAACTTCAGAGCAAAAAAATTACAAGAGACAGACAGGGAAATTAGATAATTATAAAAGTATCACTCCATCAAGAACACAAAGCAATCCCAAATGTGTATGCACCAAATGACAGACCTGTAACATGTGGAACAAAAATTGATAAACTAAAAGAAGACAAATCCATGATTAGAGTCTTTAACAACCCATCTCAACAACTTACAGAAGAACCATTATAGACAGTAAACCAGCAGACAGAAGAACCCAACACATTAACTAAAAGGATCTAATCAGCATTTCACCCAATAACAGCAAATACCCTCTTTTCAAGGGCCTTGGAATTCTTACCAATATAGACCACATCCCCGTCACAAAACAAACTGCACCAAATTTAAAATAAATGGAATCACACTAAGTAGGTTCTTTGACGACAAAATTCTCCTGCTAGAAAAGATATAAATAGGACCCACATCCTCCTACATAATTGACAAGATGCTCAGCATACAATTGAAAATCATCAGTCATACCGAAAACCAGAACACTCACAATGGGAATCAAAAAGACAATCAACTGACACCAAAACTTAGATTAACTCAGATACTGGAATGATGTTACAAGCATTTTAAGCAGAAAGTATAAAAACGCTTCAGTGAAACTACAAATTCTCTTGAAACAAATAGAAATTATATAAAAATAAAAAGCACAATAGTAAAAATAAAATATCGCTGGATGGAATCAACAGTAGAGTACAGAGGACAGAGGACAGAATTACGGAACTTGAGAAAAAAATCAACAGAATTTACACAATCTAAACACAGAGAAATGAGACTGGAAAAAAAAAAGAGCCTAAAGGAATTATGTGACACTAACAACAAACCCAACTTTTATAGCACTGGTGCCCTGAGAGGAGAAGAGAAAGAGGGTGGAAAGGAAAGAGTACTTGAAGAAGCAATGGCTAAAAACTCCCTAAATTTGGTGAAACAAAAACCAACAGATTTAAGATTAGTGAATGTCAAACACCATAAACCTAAAGAAATCCACACCAAAATACATCATAATTAAACTTCTGAAAACTGGAGATACAGAAAAAACTTGAAATCAGCCAGAGAAAGAGATGACACGATACTTACGGAACACCAGTTCCAAGGACAGCAGATTTCTAATCAGAAACCATGAACGCTGGAAGAAAGTAAAACGAGTTTCTAAGAACCAAGAAAAGAATCGTCACCCAGAAATCCTGTGCCCAATAGAACTATCCTTCTGGAATGAAAGGGAAGTAACGACATTCAAAAACAAAAAAGTTTCAAGCTAGATTGGCTATAGGAAGTTCTTCAACAGAAAGGAAATGGAAAAAAGAGAGAATCCTGGAACATCAGGAAGGAAGGAAGAATAACAGAAAGAGCAAAAATATGGGTACATACAAGGGATTATCCTTATTATGAGTTTTATAAATCACATCCGATGATTTAAACAAAAGGTTATAACACCATCTGATACTCAGGGTACGATTTTAGAGTGCAGGGGGAAGAGGGCGGGTAAAGGGACCAAAATGGATCAAGGTTTCCACACTGCGTTCCACACACTACACGACCGACCGGTACCAACAGCCCGTGGTGGTGCCACCTGCCTACTGCAACACCCGGAGCAAACACTACAAGAACTACACGAAAGTTCAAGGAATTCAAAGGAAGGCAAGAAGAGAAACAAAGGAATGAGAATCGGGAAAAAAACCAAACAGAAAATATAATAAAATGGCACACTTAAGCTCTAAAGTATCAATAATTACCTTAAATGTATTGGGTTGTGGAAAAGTCATGACATATTTTTCTGTTTTTTTTGTTGCAAAAATGCATTATAACTTTTCCGACAACCCAATAAATGGCTTAAATACGGCAATCAAAAGACAGAGATTGACAGAGTGTATAATGGAAAAACACGATCTAACAGGAAACTCACTGTGAATTCAACAACATAGATTCAAAGCTAACACCACGCAAATATTAATCCACAAAAAGCTGGAGTGGACATTAATACCTAATAAAGTAGGCTTCAAGCAAAGAAAATTACCAAAGAGGAACTGTACCTAACAATGAAAGAAACCCAGCCGGAAGACTTAAGGACCCTAAACGTGGTCGGACCAAATGACAGAGCCTCAAAATACATGAAGCAAAAACTGACAGACTCCAACTGTGATGGAAACCTATAGTGAAACAGGTAGCATATTTTAAAATAATTATCTCCTAAAATCAACCAGGAGAAACAGTGCTTCTGGAGAACCCACTTCTGATCAAACACTAAACACGGGCATCCTTCCTCGGTTCTCCTGCAATCAATCACCAACAACCCCATAAGAAAAAATATCCCTCCTTTCCAGCAGAGGAAATTAAGGCTTGTAGTTTAAATAAGTAACCTAAGAGCAAACAGCTAGTAAAGGAACCAAGATGCGACTCGGCTCTGTAACGACGCGACATGGATTGCTCTGGCTATCCGCCTCTCGAGCAGCCCAAACCAAAAGACATCCTAACGCTGAAGTCGAAGCAATTGGCTACAGTAGTTTTTTCCTCTATGTATTAAAGATTAACTAAAACGCAGTATTTCCCCTTTTTATAAAGTTTGTTTCTAATTACTCCTCCATTTATAAAATGTAGCCTTCTTCTCTTTGTGTGAGAAATAAGTTAAATGAGCTAAAACCAACTAAGGTGCGACACGTCATTTGAAAGCAAAGGATTGTACTTAATTCTCCCACTAAACTGTGGTCCCATTTAAGCAGCCTAACCTTTCTGAATCCCTAAAAGAAGAAAAGTTCGTGTAAAAAAGATGCGTTAAGTACAGGTTCAATAAGTGTCCTTAGCACGCAGACCGCAATGTCCCCCCCGGCTCTGCACATCGGTGACAGCAAGCGCTTCTCCGCAAGGTACGTGTTTTTAACTCGAAGTAGAACTGGTCCTCGTTGTCTTCGTAACTTATGCGGTTAACAGAGTTTCCGACCCTAATGACCCGTGCGCGCCTTGGGCGCAGCACCCCCGAATCGGACTCAGTGGCCCCTCCACGTGGGCCGGGAGGCCGGGGCACGCCAGGGCGGCAGAGCTGGGGGCGGCCCCCCCGAGGGCGGACGCCCGCCCGGGTCCAGGCGCGCCGGCTCGGAAGCACGCTGAGCGGCCGGCAGACCGGCGGGGACCCTGGCCCGCCGGCCGGGCTCTGGGGGCGGGGCCCACACGGGCGGCCCCCCGGGCCGAGCGCGGAGGGAGGGGCGCCTGGCGGGCCGTCGTTACCTGCTGGGCCGCTCGGCCCCGGGCCCCGCCGCGCTGTAGTAGGCCGCGCGTTTGCGGCTGGCCGCGGCCGCGCTGCGCACCGGGTACAGAGGGATCTGGTCCGCCATGTTCCGGCCGCCGCCTCTCCGCCCCTCCCTGATCCCCCTCGGCTCACCCCCTTGCCCCCGCCCTCTCCCCTCAGCTCCAACCCGGCTGAGGCGCTGCTCGCAAGCCCTTCCCCGCCACCCGCCGAGTCGGGGCCTGATGGCGTCACTACGCGTCGGGGCTCGATGACGACTCCGCGCGGCGCAGGCGTGAGCTGGAGGCGGAGGCGACCGAGGCCCCGCCCCCGTCGTCGGGGGCCCACTGACGTCACCCCGCGGTGAGGGCGCGAGCGGTAGGCGGTGGCGTCCCGAGGCTCCGCCCCCAGCGCCTGACGTCACCTCGGCTAGACCGCGAGGCGAGGCGTTGGGCCGGGTGCGCGTGCGCTGTGGGTGTCCTGGTGCGCGCCGGACGCTGCTCCGCATGTCGGGAGCCTGCGGGGCCTCCCTCGGCCGCGCGCTCCTGCTCGGGGGACTCCCCGCCTCGCCCCCGGCGCCCTCCCCGCGAGCGTCGACCGCCTCCCGGCGCAGGCGGAGCCACGTGGCGCCCGCTCCGTGCGTTTCTGCCGCAGCCCTGCCCGGCGCCCCACCTGCGCCCGCGGCGCGCGACCCGGGCTCCCCCGCTGCTGGGCGCGCTGCGCTGCTGGGCCCGGCCGGGGCCGCTGTCGGAGGGCCGCGCAGGCGGGTGGGAGAGCGGCGTCCGGAGGCGGCCTCACCGCGCCCCGGGCTGAAGGCCGCCGCCCTCCCGGTCCCCTGGAAACTGCCCAGGACAGCCGCGGCCTCGCCCCGAACTTGCGCCGTGCGCCCCAGGGTGTCCCGCAAAGCCTCCGCACATGCGCACTTAGTTCCCTTCTTTGCAGTTGTGTCAGCTCTCCCCTTCCCTCGGCCGCTAACCCCCTCGTCTCCTGAGATCCCACCCAGGGGCCGAGTCCGTCCTAACGCCTCAACATTCCCGGCTTGTCACCCGGATCCTCTCGGTGACCCCGACCTCAGAGGGTGAAGCGATCTCCGAGGCTAATTCTTATATAGTCCTCGCTCCGCCGTACTTGGAATTTCTGGTATTTTTCATTCTTCCTCATTCGGTCTAATACATGCAACTATGTTCAGGCTTCTATATTTAAGAAATGTTGCCTAGGTTTCATTATTTCCTAAGATTTCATTATTCCTATAAATTGCTTTCAAAGGCTGCAGTCTAACAAGTCTTCAGAGAGTTTGGAACTTGGCTATCAAGATAGTATGTTTAAGGTTGTTATTAATGTATAGCTCAGGAATTGGGCTTGAACTCACCATTTTTAAAAATCGAGGATTTCTTCCAGGCAAAATATGTGGTCAGATTTCTAAACTATTTACATAGAGATTTACATAGGTTTTATATTCCAAGACCCAATATGCTAATGGTCCAGTAGTTCATGAAGTCTTCCTGCTGCCATTTGCATAATGTTCCATGGGAACTTGGGAAGAAATGTGCTCAGTCTTGAGACCTGCTTGCCCTGCAGTCACGGCTCCTGAGGACACGCTCTAAAAGAGCCCCCAGCAGGGGCCGGCCAAGTGGCTCAGGTGGTTAAGCGCTCACTCAAAAGTGCAGCTCTGAGCGACAGGGTTGCCGGTTCAATTCCTAGCCCGAGCTGAGCAGCCGCTGAGCTGCCAACAGGTGGCAGGATGGCTCAGCTAAAAATAAAAAATAAAAGACACCCCAGCTGTCCCCACCTGTTCTAGGAAGCAGCTGGCTACAGAGCACCTGTCGCTCCCAGCACGGAACCATCACTATCTTTTGGAATGTCCCCATACTGCTTGCGTGCCCCCAGCCAACCAAGGACTGTCAGAAGGACCTGAAGCCCTAGGCAGCTAGCTGTCAGCAACAGGGTGTTGGTGGGCGTTGCTTTGTGCTTGGCTGGTTTATCCTACCCAAGCCCCTGCAGCAAGCCCATCTCCCACTCCCGTCACCGACTTCCAGACCCAGAAGCAAGCGGACCGGAGCCACTCGCCTCTGTGTTTTCCGTCCAGTAACTTGTTTTTAAGCCCAGCTTTTTTTCATTTTCTGCTTTCGTAATTTATGTATCCCTTCTGGATGTGTGTTGAAGCAGTGTGTTCAGCCTGAACTTCTGGATTCTAAACTTACCTTGTTTAAATACCTTCATATCTTACTCTTCAAATTTAAAAACTTCCTCATTAAACAAGTAATATTCTTAAGTAGCTGCTACCACTTTCTGGTTGCCAGTTTGCTCCTTAGCTGCTTTTTATGCAGCTTGGAATTCACACTCCATTCACATAGCTCTCAAAAGACACAGTGACCTGGTAATTGCTAAATGAACTTGACTCATTCTTTCACTTACTCAGACTTACTGCAGCAGCTGACACTGTAACACAGCTGCTCACCCACTAAACAACTGAAATTGTAACAATTCAGTCATTCAACAACTGACACTGTAACACAACTCCTCAAAGTCACTCAACAGCTGACACTGTAACAACTCAAAGTCACTCCACAGCTGACACTGTTACAACTCCTCAAAGTCACTCAATGAGCTGACACTGTAACACAAGCTAGATAACCACACTCAGCAGCTGACATTGTAACACAGCTCCTCACCCACTCAACAACTAAAATTGTAACAACAAAGTCACTGAACAGCTGACACTGTAACACCAGGTGCTTGTCATTTTTCCCTTTTGAGATAACTTTGAAACGATTCATGCAGCTCTACCCCTTTACGAATTCCATCGCCACTGGCTATTTCTTTCACAGCCAGCCTACCTACTTTAAGTAAAACACACATCACACACACACACACACACACACACACACACACACACAACAACACACATCACACACACACACACACACACACACACACACACACACACCAAAAAAAAACAAAACAAAAAAACCCCACTCGTGTCTTTTCCAAATTCGGACTTTTCATTGCTCCATTTCTGCATTGCTAGATTCTTCATTCCAATTTTGCACCCAGGGGAGGAACAGGTATGGTGGGGACAGACATTATAGTATCTGCCTGTGGGAGGTTATACCTGGGTAGGGAGACACATTCACACACTGCTCTCTGTCACTTAGGGCACTTGAAATAGCTGCTATGACGCTAGTACAAAGTTCTGTCGGGGTCTTAGATGGTGCACTCAAGGCATTCGCTGGAGTTTAACTGACGGACTGCTTATAGAGGTGTGAGCGGGAATAAGAAAACCATGAAGGTGGAGCATCAGCGATGGCCACTGCTCCCCAGTCAGGCATGTCCCATGCCACCAGAGCTACGATTGTGAAGAACAAGAACGGATGGGACAGAAACAGAAGGACCTGCTTCATTGAAGGCAATGAGACTAACAAAAGTTCGAGAAGGGTCTACATGAGTCATGAGGAAACTTCTGGTGACCTGGATTGAAGACCAGACACAGAAGCTTGTCCCTCTTAGCACCATGACGATCACGGCCAGAGCAAAAAGTTTCCGGTGTTGAAAGAAAAGGCTGGACCCGACTACAATTTTGAATTTACTGCTCACTCTGGGTGGTGTAAACGATTTAAGAATCCTCATTCATTCCATGATGTGGAAGTGAGTGGTCAGACTGCGAGTGGGGATGTGAGGCAGCTGAAGAACTTTGGGAAACTCTAGATAAGCTGATAATGGAGGAAAACTACTCGCCAGAGCAGATGAGCAGCATGCACAAAAACCCATCTTCTTAACCTCTAACCCAGTGTTGCCTTCTGAGTCTTAGAACCAGAACTTGGAAATAAGGCCAACAGGAGGTTGGCACATCATTCCATGTCCCACGAGGGCACAGGCCACCCACAGACTAGGAGAATGGACTTTGCTGGACTCTGTTTACTGTTTACTAAAAGTCCCCGACTTGGTGAAATGACATGTTAATTTGAAGATTTTTGCCAGTCGAGATACAAATAATTTGTGTCCAGTAAGAAAATATAACCCTGAAGGATATAGTTAATTGTCCTTTAGGATACTAACCAGTTTTGTATATAACCCCACAATCTTATCCTAACATTCTTTTATGAAATTGCCTATAAAGAAACCTGGGTTCTGAAATATGCTTTAAACCAGTCTTAATGTCTTACTCATTATATCTTCCCTCATTATCTTCCCTCTTATTTAATAAGTTGAATAGAATTTTTGACACATGTTCTTTATGTGACTGCATGAGAGTTATCCTACCTCTTTGAACATTATACTTTAGCAAAAAGACAAATCTTCAAACGTTGAAGAGCTTTATGTAATTTATAAATGGATGATGGTGAGTATCAAATTATTATGGAATTTAAATGTCATTAGATACATTTGAAAGAGTGATGTCACAGTTCTATTTTTTTTTCTTTTTTTAAAGATTTTTATTGGGGAATTGGGGGGATGGGAACAGTGCTGGGGAGTTGGGGGAAGGGGAACAGACAAGTTGCTGTCCTTTTTGTCTAGTTTGGAGGACGTTGCTTCACTGGCCCAAGTTGGCACCATCATTGTATTCTTCCCGGGCGGGGCAGATCAGTCGCCGGCTTCTGGACGGCCGCTCACTGTGGTTGCTGGCCGCTCACGCTGACTGCTGGCTACATACAGTAGCCCATGGCAACCCACTGCCACAGGGGCTGCAGCCTACACCGTCGCCGGCGACTCACGGCAGCCCAGCTCCAGGTTGAGCTGTTGTTCAGCATCTTAGCTGTGGAGGGCAGTGTCACTGGCCCTCATATGTGGGATCCGAACCGGGGTCCTCTGGCGTCCCAAGCCAGTTCTTAACCATTGTGCCACTTGGCCGGCCCCACAGTTCTATTTTTAAAGGTAAATGCTACATGCCCAAAATGCATCATTCGTATCTATTTACACTTATAGAAAAAACTTAGCTGTCACTACAAAATGTGTAAAGGGATACATACTTTCCAAAATTCTTTTAGGAGGGTCAATGAGCAGAAAAGTTTGAAGACTGCTATTGTAATACACAGTTAAAAACAAAACAAGACACCATAAAAGATGAACCTTGTAAAAGGCGTCTTTAAATGCATTTTGAAAGGTTGATTTAGAATTCATTATTACTGATCTGTCTTTGCTTCACTCTCACAGAACCCTGTATTGAGAGGGATGCATTCCCTTTCATGACAACTGGGGAGAGAAGATGTGAAGTTGCCGAACAAAAATTATCTTTATTCCTACCCACCTCTTCCATATATCTGAACTCAGAACAGCTCAACATGGACCAAAATACAAGAGTTCCAACTTCACATTTCACCCCTTGAACAGAAGTATATTTAAAAGGGGAAAGATTAAGAACCCTCCAGACTTATGTTGCCTGGATTGGTTATAAAGGAGAAAAACAGAATTGCAACAGAATAAGGTTTTTATTCAATTGGCCACGTGATGCTCTCATATTAATTATAGCAAGTTCATAATTTACAAACAAAACTTTTGTGCAGTAATTTACTCTAGCTTCTCATTTTCCGAAAGAATTTAAGTAACCACAAAAATCTGTGTGTTTATGTGTGCGTGCATGTTGTGAGTGGCTGCATGTACAGATGGCGTCTATGACACATGTGCTTCAGTCATGCCCTGGAAAGCTCAAGAACTTGGAAAAGAGTTTTCTGCTGCTTTGCATTAGGCTGAAGTGCATTCAGATCAATGTATTTAGAGGATTCAAAGTGTCCTTTAAACCGTTCATTCAATTACTGCTTTGTAATGAGCCATAGATGTTGCAACTCTTCTATCAAAATGCGGAAACTAATTAATAGCTTCTCAGTGAGAGATTCGGGGGGTTGCCTACAGATTAAATACACTGGAATCGAACTGTGCTCTCTGAGTCTCATGATGGTTGGCTGGGGTTTAGAATCAACGTGGATGTTTGTGTTGACAGCTGTGTGGCTGACAGATGTTTCCACCTTTCATTCTAGCACAAGAGGCTCTTCCCAGACACAATACCATAGTCTTGATCATGACAGAAATGGAAAGTCTCTTCATGTAGCTGCAGAAGACGTGCGTTCCTTTGCTGAAGTCTCATTTTTCTCTTTGCCACTTCAGGCAGGTGAAACTAATCACTTTAGAATTCTTAACATGAAATTGTTCGTACTGAGTATGTTTATTGCAAACTGTGGAAGCCCACGAGATATTGTGTAGGATATTTTCAATAGTAATGCAAAAAAAAAATCTTGAAATTTCCAGAGAGGGTATAATACCAAGTACCACCATATTATAATTTTATCTTCAGAAAATTCTGTACAGAAATTTCTGTATGTAAAACATTTTATATACATATATATAGACCATATATAGAGAAATATATATGTATATGGTGTGTATAAAGTATTTTATTTTGGAAAAATGGAAACCAGCAAGCTTATTTTGTGAAAAATAACATTTCCATCAAGAGTACCATATAAACCAAAATCACAAAATCCTGTATACATTATATATACACACACACACATATTTATGGGAAGAGGGAGATTAAAGCATATGTACCTTCCAGATCTGAAACTCATTCTAGAAGAAAAGACCGATCGTACGTACTGAACTCCACCTCATGCAGAGGGGCTGTCGTCGATGTTGCTGTTGCCGGGTCTCGCCATTTCTGTGAGGTTTGGGGGAGACTCCTGTCACCATTGACGTGAGACCAGAGACCTGCCTCGCTCGCCCGATGGCTAGGGCACTGGCCTTCCATTGGTGCAGTCGTATGGATTTGGAGAGCGGGGACTCCCACAGGGTGGGTGTGGAGGGTGGCGCTGCACCGCCTGGCCCTGGTTCTTCCTTGTCCCCGGAGCTGTGTCCTGCAGCTCTCCAGTTGTCACTGCCAAGTAGCTCATGGCCTCCCAACACATTGCTTTCCTGATTTCAAGTTCGTCGGCATCTGTTGCTGTCATTTGCAGCCAGGAACTGTGGACGACCTACACACTAGGCAGGTAGAAGCAGTAAAACAGTGTGTGTGTGTAACCTGTGTACCGGCAGGTACTCGAGTGCCTCCTAGAACCACACTGCGCACTGCGAGCCCACCAGGGAAGTGGCGTGTGACACAGGACGCTGCCTGGGGTGCTGTGTGACAGCAGGAAGCCAGCCCCACTCGGCCAGGGTCCCGTTCTCATTTAAATCCTGTTGAAGTGGTGTGTGTATATCTGCTCATTTCGCCAACAACCTCTCTACGTGATTTTGATAAAAATTGTTATATAAAAAGGTAACCAGGCAAAGCCAGGGGGGCGGGGGGGTGGACACAGAGGCAGAGTGTCACCAGGATGAGTCCTGCTTGTTTGTTTCTTATTGCGTCCAAAACCACACAACACACACTGTGCCATCCTAACGTTGTCACATGCACAGTGCAGTGGGGCAGCCCTCTCGCACCTTTGCTCCTGGTGACACGGAATCCTTACCCTCACCCTCAGTACCGGGTCTCACTCTCCACGCGGCCCCTGGCAACCAGTTCCCCACTTTCCCTTCCTGGGGCGTGACTAGTTTCGAGTCCTGCTTGGGCCTCTCCTACCCTAGCTGATTGTGGGCAGTCACTTCCCCGAGTTTCAGTGTCCCCATTTGTGAGATAGATGGCCGTGAAGATTAGATGAAGAGACTCACCATGGACGCTCACCAGACCGGGCGTGAGTGCCCGGTCCCCACTCCCCGCCCCATCGTGTGCAGCCATTCCCACCGGGACCAGCCCGTCCTCCGGTCCCTCTGGCCCTGGCCTCCCCGCCCTTCCACAGTCACAGCCCCTCTGCCTGACCTGGGCAGCTGCCTGCGCCTGAGGCTGACTCCTGGGGTGCCTCCTGGGAACTCTTCTGGTTCCCAATGACCTCATTCCCTGTTGTATGCTGAGCACCTGCTGCCTCGCCACAGCCAGCCAGGCAGGAACATTGTCAATAGCACAAGGAGACGGGAGCTGTTTGGGGCTATGTGCCCCGTCTGACAAGCCTTCCTGCCTGTTCTTGGAGCCAGCTTTCAGTTGGGCATCTGGCCACTGGTCTGAACACACAGCTCAGCCTGGCAGCCTTTTCGACATCAAGATTTCCCCACCTGGCAGCGTCTCCTGGCTGGTGGGTGGATGGCCCTGTCCTCCCTCCATCATTTCCTGCTTTCCGCCTGGCCTTGGTCATCAGTGATGGGCTGCTGGAGTCTCAGTGGTGGGACCTCCACCACTTGGCTCAGTGTCAATGCAGCCGAAAGGCCTCCTCTGTTTCCTGGCCATTGCCAGGTGAAAGCAAGCATCTCGGCTTGTCTCTTCTGCGACCCTCGTGAGAGGTGTGGAGTGAGGGGCTTGCAGACGTGCTGAAGGCTGCATTTCTCACCCTTCCCAGCTCGACCTTGGCATCAACTGCATCCCAAATTTCATAACTGATATCACTCATCTTTGAAAATATATCCTGACCTCGGTGTAGATTAGCTGGGCTGCATCCCCTGTGTCCTAACTCAGAATTTATAGGTATATCTCGTTCAGAGCGGCCTTTTCCCCCATCCCAAGTTCATTGAATATGCAGGAGAAGGGATGCGGCAATTATTTATAACTTTATTGGATGTAATTTGCATCTACCTTCTGAAAGGATGGAGTGACGCTTCTGGGAGCTGCATGTTAAACACAAGCGCTTGCCCTTGACCTCACCCACCCACGCCCTGCACCGCAGTGCCCTTTTCTTCCTGGGAAGGACGGTACAATTTGTCACCACACAAATTATTCTGTACTTGCTGTTGACATTCCTTTATCAGATAAATTACTAGTACTTATTATGCTGAAGGCAGGTTCCATGAAAATTTTATATTGTGAAAATCTTAGTTTACGTTGAGACCAAAGGATTGTATATCTTCAAACAATGAACACAGAGATGTGGCTGTTACACGTGTCCATGGTAGGACTTCTGGGGCCAGGCACTTGCAGTCCCATTCAGGTGTGCTCCGCGCCTCCGCCGGGCTGCCATTCCGCATGGTGACAAGGACACTGCAGACACCCAGACAGTCACACGGCTCTGCATCACACGGGACAAGCATGGACCTGGAGGGCAGGAGTCCAGTTCCAAATGCCACCATTGGAATGTTTATAACTTAATCATAAAGAACTTTATAAGATGTGTGACTGGTATTACAAATAGACCTCTAAAAGCCATACACGCTCCATGAAAAGGAAGCACAACACTTGAGGAAAAAAAGGAAAATTTTCTTCCATCACGAGAATAGCACATGTTTGTTTGGAAGCAGAAGGATGAAGTGGTTGAGGGCACGGGCTGAGAACGTGAGTGCCACCCCTCGACCTGGGCGGCTAGCTGGCCTTCCAAGCCTCATTTCCTCATTCGTTTAATAGGAATAGTAGCATCCGCCCCAAGCTGTCATGAGGAGTTAATGAGATCAATCGAGATGAGACAATTAAGTCCGCGAACTCATCCTAGAGAAAGTGCTACACACCTCATTGCTGAATATCACTATGGTCACCTTCAAAGTGCTCCCCTTTGGGAAGCTATGCACCGACGCCAGTGCCTAGTCCACCCTTCAAAGTAATTTTGGAACTCTTTTTCTGGAATGACTATCAGAGCTGTCGTCATATTACCTTTGATGTCCTGAATGTCATTAAAATGTCTTCCTTTCAATATTTCCTTTATCTTCAGGTAAAGAAAGAAGTCATTGGGGGCCAGGTCAGGTGAGTAGGGAGGGTGTTCCAACACAGTTATTTGTTTCCTGGCTAAAAACTCCCTCACAGACAGTGCCGTGTGAGCTGGTACATTGTCGTGATGCAAGAGCCATGAATTGTTGGCGAAAAGTTCAGGTCATCTAACTTTTTCACGCAGCCTTTTCAGCACTTCCAAATAGTAAACTTGGTTGACTGTTTGTGCAATTGGTACAAATTCATAATAAATAATCCCCCTGATATTAAAAAACGTTAGCAACATCATTGCAACAAGCTCTCAAACTTAATTGGCAGACCTCGTAGACTGAATGTTTGTGTGCCCCCAAGTTCAAATGTTGAAACCTAACCCCCCAGGTGATGGCATTAGGAAGGGGACCTTGGGAGGTGACCAGGTCATGAGGGTGGGGCCTCGGGAATGGGGTTAGCTTCTTGTAAAGGTCACGGCCAGCCGGCTCCCCACCTGCCCTGCGAGCACAGAGCAGCCTATGAACCAGGAAGAGGCCCTCACCGGTGACCCTGCTGGCGCCTGGATCTTGGCCTTTCAGCCCCCAGAACTGTGAGAGCTGAGTGTCTGTTGCTGATAAGCCCCCAGTGGGGGGGGGGTGTTCCTCTTGATTAGATACCTTTCTCCTCTGAACCCCCATAGGTTCTGTGCAACTTCTCTCATAATGCAGTCAAATTTGCATTTTGCTGTTGGCACAGTTGTCTTGTTCATTTCGTGCAGAAAGGAACTGTATTTTATTTACCTCTGTTTTCCCTAGAGACTCCTGTAACAAACGCCGAGTAACCAGTGGTTGTGCTGAGTTGTGAGACTCCTCTCCCTCCCTCCTACTCACCCCAGCACGGACCTCAGCGTGAGCAGAAACAGGCGGCCCACTCATCCCCCGTGTGTGCTGTTTTATTTGAATGCTAGCTTTTTTCCCTATTAATTTCCTATATTAGTTTTTTATGTGTCTTTCTATATTAGAGTTGGAGTAGTTCTGATTTTATTTTAATAGTGAAGTAAAATAAACAAAGGCTTAAACCCTTTTCCTTTGGGGTTTTCAGAGTCTTAAATTAGTGGTTGTTATACTGAGAGTTTTCAGATGTGCTTGATATATTTGTAAAAATTAGAATGGGTCTTAGGATTCGCGTCCCAGGGCCCATCCCCATGAGGGCAGCCTGCTGACACCCCAGCTTGATGACAAACAGGAGCACAGTATCTAAAAAGACTGTACACTTTCCTTCCAAGATGGACCATGTCTAGCCACCCTCAAAAGCAGGACTTCTCACATTTAAACAAAAGCCCCAGGACCTTTTCTGTCCAGCAGGTCGTTAGAGGAGAAAGCTGGTCAGTGCTGCCTGCAGAGCCCCCCGAGCTGTCCCCTCCCCAGAGGAAGCTCTAGCAACCTCAACTCTTGCAGTCGCTTTCTGTTCGTTTGGTGAAAGCATGCTATACAGGTGCTTATTGTTTTATCACATTATTTTTAATTAATAACTTCCTTCTGCAAATTTTTGACAAAAATGTTTGACTGTAGAGCTTAACACTCATCAGAGAATATGACAAGTTTATTTTCACATGACGTCAAGGTGTGGTG